GGAGGCCTAGGCCTCTCAGCCCGGCCAGGCGGGATGGCAAGCCGGGGGTGGGGAGGAGGAATGACCGCGGGCTGTGCAGGCGCGGCTTTTTTTGCGGGGGGGAAATCTGCCAAGCCCCCCCCTCGCCAGCCAGCATGGAGTCCGGAAAAGCAACGCTTCCACGCTCTGCTGACCCATTACAGTAGTCTGTAGCTGCACACCCAAATTTATTTATTCAATTTATATCCCGCCCATCTAGTCAATAGTCTACTCAAATTGCATTCCTGCTCTTTGGAGCAATTTTGCAACCCGATTTCCATACTGCCGTATCCCGCCCATCTAGTCAATAGACTACTCAAATTGTATTCCTGCTCTTTGGAGCAATTTTGCACCCCGATTTCCATAGTGCCAGTGTGCAAAATAAAATAAAATAAGAAAAGCAGCACCACAGGGAGATTCCAGAATAATCTTTCCCCACCACCACCTTCTCTGCCTCCTGTGTTGTTATTTTGGTGGTATTGATTACCTGCACCGCTCAGCATGGTCTAGGCACATGGGGGGGCCGAAGAAAGAGGAGGAAAACTTCTGGCGGGGGGCAAATGGAATTTGATGAGTTAGGGTGGCATTTCTTCTGGTCCTGTTGGGGCTTGGCTCACCCAAGGCTTTCCAATCTTGCTGCTCTTTTCAGGGGAAGGGGGGGGAATCTCAGTCTGTAAGGAGTGGGGAAAAGGTCAGTAACCCCACACCCAAATAAGTCAAAAGCCAGAGGAGAGCGTAGAGCGGGTTGGAAAGATCACCCACCCCAAACACCTCATTCATCCAGCGGTTTCCATCTCTCCACCAAGGCCCGCGGCTAGATCTGCAAATAAAAGGCCCCCATGCATCCCGCATTCCCATGTGCTTTCCAATCTTGCTGCTCTTTTCAGGGGAAGGGGGGGAATCTCAGTCTGTAAGGAGTGGGCAGAAGGTCAGTAACCCCACACCCAAATAAGTCAAAAGCCAGAGGAAAGCGTAGAGCGGGTTGGAAAGATCGCCCACCCCAAACACCTCATTCATCCAGCGGTTTCCATCTCTCCACCAAGGCCCACAGCTAGATCTGCAAATAAAAGGCCCCCATGCATGCAGCATCCCCATGTCATGGTACCAGCCATGGGCACGCCTCTGTGAGCTGCAACCAGATTCTTTGTGGTGTTCAGAGGGCTGCAAGGAACCTGCCTGGTCCCACTCTTTGGAGTCGGGTCACATTCATGCTGGTTGCTTCAATGACCCTGTCCAACCGTCTCGTCTTCTGTCGTCCCCTTCTCCTCTTGCCTTCACACTTTCCCAAAATCAGGGTCCTTTCCAGGGAGTCTTTCTTCTCTTCTCATGAGATGGCCAAAGTACTGGAGCCTCGGCTTCAGGATCTGTCCTTCCAGGGAGCACTCAGGGTTGATTTCCTTCAGAATGGATAGATTTGTTCTCCTTGCAGTCCAGGGGACTCTCAAGAGCCTCCTCCAGCACCACAATTCAAAAGCATCAATTCTTCGGCGCTCTGCTTTCTTTATGGTCCAGCTCTTGCTTTCATACATCGCTGCTGGAAAAACCATAGCTAATGAGACTGAGATGGCCTCAGCTTCAGGACCTGTCCTTCAAGATCTTCAGTATTTGAGCCTCAGCGTCAGGATCTGTCCATCCAGTGAGCACTCAGGGCTGACTTCCTTCAACAGGGATAGGTTTGTTCTCTGTGCAGTCAGTACAAAATATAAATGCAAAAGCAGGCAATACCTTTCCAGACTGCTAAAAAAAATCACAATGTGCGAGCTTATGCGGATCAGGACCATTTGCCCATGTTGGTTAAGCCTCAAATCCGCTAGAGGGCAGCACAAACCCACAGAGTGGCTCATCGTGAGCTCAAGAAAGGCCACCCCAAACCAGCTATCT